ACACACACACACACACACACACACACAGTCACGCACACATATACATCAGATTCCATCCTTAGAAATCACACGCATTCGTACACTGCTCGAACAACATAAGCTTGCTGCATGTGTTTCATCTACACACAAACACAGAGACGCGCGCACATCCATGAACACACACTTTCAAATGCATTTAACAGTGAATCTAGTTAGCTGTTATAATCATGTCGCTTTCCAAGCTCATGAGATTTCTGTGTCATAGCCTGGCATGAATATGGAGAGCTCTTTTCATCTGAGAAGTAATGATGATGAAAAGTTTCCTCCGGAGCTGAGGAGGAGGTTTAAAATCTGTAACAAAAAAAAAGTTCCGAAATTAAACAGCACAAGCTTGCATAAGCTATTTGTGTACAGCGTTTGTTGACGCTTCTAAATTCATCTTGTGTAACATGCATGGATAGCATTTTTAAAGAAAAGCTGTAAACTAGAGTGGAATGCAAACAGCGTTGCATCAGGCTGCGTCATTCTACAATATATATATATATATATTTCAATCTCTGGAATGACGTTATCTCCCCTATATTATCTTTTCAAACCTCTGCCTCTCTCTGTCAGTGTCCTGCCTTGTGCATCGCTCTACTTCCCCATGCCTCTGTAACATCACCTCGCAGCCCCTTCACACCCACGTGTCCTTTTCACTTTAGGGACCGCTTTTACCACAACTCATAATGACCATGCTGCGGGAGACCACAAGCCACTCCGGGGGGCCTCTCTTTCTTGCTCTCTTTCTGTTGTCTGTTGTTCATCAGTTGAGTCTTCTGTAATATAATAATGTTTTGGTGTTTTGAGAAGGACTGTACTGAAAGATCTGACCTTGAGAACCTCCCCTACAGTATTATTTTAACATTTTTATCTTAATTTGTTTTTTTGTACTGTTTCAGTGTTTTAAAGTGCACTCACATCTTAATAACCTTCGCCAAGGAGGTTATGTTTTTGTCTGCGTTTGTTTGTTTGTTTGATAGTTAGGATTACATAAAAACTATTGAACCAATATCCATGAAATGCTGTGGAGGGGTGGGATAAGGCCCAAGGTAGAAGACATTAATTGGAGCGGATTTGAATAAATGGGCCAATCCACGAATTTCTTTTCATTTTCTTTTGAGTGTTTCCCACAGATTTCATTCGCTCTATTCCGGTAGCGGGGGTGCACGCACGTGGACAAAGGATGCTCTCACATGCATTTTGAGTGTCAGGTACACAGACTGAGAGTGAAAGACTAGATTTAGTGTGAGAGAGAGAACTGCATTGCATGTCACTTGTGGGTATGTGCACAACTGCAGGTGAAACTATGAGGTCTGATTGTCTGCATGGATGATAAAAACTTTATGGATGACACGGCTATACAGTGCAGCAATGGTGCAAAAGTAACATATTGCTAATGTTATCATGAGAAGTGGCAAAACATGTGTCAGTCTATTATGAAAACTGTGGTAAGTAAAATTAAAATATGACAGGCCGCCACAGTCTATATAATTGATGGTAAACAATGCTTTGACATGGTGAGATAGGACATTAGCCTTGGCGGAGGGATGCACCATCAGAACATCCTTCTAGTTTGTTGGGCCATTGGTTGTTTTTGTGCTGATTTTATGTTTTCCTCTATGGAGCATAACATAACATTCTCTTTAATTTAAATTATAACAGGAACTGTTCTGATACATGACGAACAGTTTAAGTTATATATCCAACAAAATTGCAAAAAAGTGATTTCAGGCCGTCAAATATGATGGTTTGTTGCCTTCTTCAATTATATATCATTGTAAATAACATACATTTGGGGTTTGGATGGCTGCTCAGCCGAAACAAGCAATTTAAACATGTCACATTTGTCTCTGGCAGCTGGTGGTGGTTGTTTTTCGCTAATTATTCTTACATTTGGAAAAACTCCCCAATTAAATGAATAAGTTATGTATATATTGATTTGTGCAGGTCTATGTTTTTCATTCTGAACATAATGATGGGTGATGCTGGTTGTTTAAATCTCGCCTCATCATTATATTATTGACACACAAAGGATCTCTCATTATTTACAGCCTGAGAAATGTAGTCG